CATGAGACAAATTGTATGTGAACTGCTGTATGGAAAGTGAATCTGCTCTGTAAATCTTCACCCAAATCACACACACACACACAAAAAAAGATCTGCCTCTAGCATTTGAAGGAAAGAGGACCAAAATAAATGGGAATTCCTTTAGCTAAAAGCCAAGATAATAAAAAAGAAGGAAGGGAGGGAGGGAGGGAGGAAGAGAGGGAGGAAGGAAGGAAGGAAGAAAGATGCCAATGTAAGTCCCAAATGGGGGTGGGAATGCAAGAGGATGGTCCAGAAATGTGCCTGCCTTGGGCTGTCTCACCATGGTGGGATTTTGAGGGATGTCATTGCTGTCACTGAGAACACAGAGCCCGCTGGGCAAGTGAAGGACAAAAGACTAGGTATAGGAGACAAAAGGCGTGTAAAGTGAGTATATAAGGATGCTGACTAGGGCCAAACCAGAGCAGGAAGCCATTATCATCCTCTTCTTTCTTCCTCTCAGCTAGGTTGATCTGAGCTCCCTCTTAATTCCAATGCAGGGGCTTCAGAATTCACAAACCTTTTGAGCTCACAAGCTAGAGAGGAAGCAGAGCAGCTATTTGTTGCCATCCCTATTTTACAGACAAGGAAACCAAAGCTCAGAGAGGTTATGTGATTTGTCCAAACCTGATTTGGAGGAACTAGGATCCAAACCTAAGCCTTCTGAAATTCTCAAGCCTACAAGAAGCATATTCTTGAGTCCTTGGATGGTACAAATGGTTAAACACTTGACTACTAGTGAAACGGCTGGCAATTTGAACTCAACTTGGAAGAAAAATCACAGCCTTGGAAACCCTATGCTATGGAGCAGTTCTACTCTGCATACACACGGGATCAGCATGGGGTGGAGTCAACTCAATGACAGCCAACAACAACGTTTCCTCTGCTCCACCATGATACCACCATGAGAGGACTGACCATGATGTAGAACACCTAAAAGAGTCAAAAGAACAGCCACTTTATCACCCACCTGGGAGGTGTTGAGAATGGTGAAGATGTAGTGGGGCACTTCGGAGACTTCCTCTACCAGAGTGGCCAGGCCCAGCCCCCAGGTGAGGCCGAAGATGGGTGTGAGAATGAGCAGGGCTTTGATCACCCCCAGAAGGGCTTGGCGCTTCTCTACCTGAGGCCCCTCTGACAGTGAAGGTCTTAGTAACTTCAGCACAGCCATGGCTAGTACCAGCCCATTCACGCCTACAATAGCCAGCACTGGCCCCACAAAGGTGTAGAGTGCACCTCCCTTCCCATCCAGCCAGCATGCTCCCTCCCCCAGGTATTGCCCTCGGGGTAGGTAGAGGCCCAAGGCACCCCCTGCAAATCCCAGAGGGCACAGATAACCGAGGAATACCATCAGGGGAAGTACGCAGTGTTTGGACAGCTGATGGAAGACGAAGAGCAGTTGGTGGGCCAACATCAGGGCCTGTGCCAGCATCCAGAAAAAGGTAGCCAGGTAGAGGAAATGGCAGAGGAAGGCAGCAGCCAGGCAGAGTGGGCTGTGGGGCCCCGGGGGAAGCAGTGGGGCTCCCAGGAAGCAGGTGTCTGCAGCCAGCAAGCAGAGCACCACATTGAGTAGGGCCGCGTGGCGGAAGTAGGCAACCTTGTTCCGTACCACAACTCTCCACACCAGCCTATACACGCCCAGGGACATAAGCAGTGCCAGGATGGAGGCCCCCAAGCCCAGCTGGCTCAGCAGCTCCAGGGTAGGGCTGTCTGGTACGGTGTGTCGGGACATGAGGATGGAGAAGGCAGTGAGATGCTGACAGACACACCAAGTGCTGGAGCTGGCCCTGGCTGCCTGTGCCTGGCACCCTTCATCCGACCAGCCCCCCTCACCTTGGAAGAGATCATGGTCCCAGAAAACACAGTGGGGGGTGCCATTTCTGTCCCCGAATTCCATGATGACCTCTCCCTGTTTGAAGGCCTGACCACCTGCCATAATGGATATGGAGAGAACCAGACCAGGAGTGGCATAGAGGGTGTCCCCCAGACCCCATCCATAATTTGAGGGCAAAAACTGGTCCAGTTTCTGCAGCACTAGGCTAGTAATACTAATATTTTCTCCAGTATGGATCAGTGGAGCCAGTGAGTGTCTGGGAATCTGTGCCTGCAGTGAAGGCTGAGTGGAGAAGGAGATCTTATAGTCAGCAGGAAATGTGGGTCCAAGGAGCTGAGTCTGCAGCTTCACATTGGGCAAGATGAAGGAGAAGGGGTGATCCTGTGGGCACAGGCTGCGTGCCATGGTCTCCACAGACAGCAGGAAAGCTGAGCTTGCAGAGGGTTCCTGGGCCTGAGCCAGGGTCCACAGAGAATTGGTGTCCAAGTCTAGGATCTTGTCCGTGGTTGTCAGGAGAGCCTGCAGCACCCAATGAAGAAAAGCCCATGTACTATGCTAGGAATTACAGACACAGAAACCTACTCTTCCTAATCCAGTGCAACATCCAACATTGGAGAGGAAAGAGGGGAGAGGAAGAGGGCCTGTGAAGGGAGACTCGTCAGCTAGGAAGAATGGGAGCTGTTAAGCCAACCACTTGGGGGCATCTCTAAGCACACAGTCTCCTTTGCTTCTCTATCTGAAAGCCCTCCATCCGTTGGGGCCATGCCTGTCTTCAGAAGGCCCCAATAGGTCTGTAAAACTAAGAAAGGGTCTAGCTGTGGTAGTGGCACGATGTTTTGAAGTGGTGGACGATAAGCATGGCTGTGCACCCACAAAGGACTTTTCTCCTAGACATGCAGGGCATGTGATATCATTGCCTCTGGCTATTCTTTTGGCTGCAGTTTATGGGTCACCAACTGAAGCCCACACAGAGAGCTGATCTAAGTGAGTCCAAAGGTATGTGTGTTTGAGGGGGTGGTGGTGGTGGTGGTGGCAGTTGTCATCATGTCATATCCACATGTCTGTGTGTACACAGCTGTCTCTATATTCACGTCTTCAAACCCTTCCTGCCTTTCCCCAGCTCCCTATGTACACCTAGTACCAGGCCTTCTTCACACTCCATGGCCTTGGAGACAGGTGTCCAAAGGGAGAAGACGAATAGGGGACCAGACACTTGGACTCTAGAAAGGGCTGCCTGACAGCCTGTGGTGATGTCAGAGGGACAGTAGTGCCCATAGGTGAAGAGCCTCCATCCCTCACTGCCCAGTTGGCTCCCAGTATGGCTCAGAGCACTCACCTTTAGGGCCCTGTGGCTAAGCTGTATTTTGGCTTTTGCCACCATCTTGGCCAGGACAGTCATGGAGTCCAGCAGTGCCAGTAAGTCTAAGGGTGAGCTCACCCTCGCTGCCTGCCCTGGCAGCTTTGCCAAGAGCTGTGGTACCTCCTTAGCAGGCTTGCCCTGGCCTGCCTGCAGCAGCTGAACAGATAAGAAGAGAGGTTCTAAGGTGGGAGCATCCCCATGAGGGAAGGGCTGCTCCCCTCCTCCTGCCTCCAGGTGCTTCCCCACCATATTCCACACCCATCCCAGGGGAAGCAGGAAGCAGAGAGGGAATGAGCCAGGTGGATGGCACTGACACCAATCTTAGTGGGATGAACACTTGATGTGATTGAGGTTTGAGACTAAGGAGTACTGGCAAGTCTAAGGCCCCCGCCCCTTCTTCCTGCTCTACCAGCATTTCAGAGCAGCTGGGACTTCAGGCTGAGGCACAGAGGGAAAGGACTGTAAAGTTGGGAATCTTTGATTCCTAAGGGAGGAAGGGAGAGGTCAGGGAGGTGACATGTGAGCAGTGGTGTGAGAAATGTTACCCTGGCTCTATGGAGCAAGGCCAGGAGGCCGGCATCTGTGCAGCTGCTGTGAATGGGTCCCCAGGCCCCATCAGGACCACAGGACCTTGTCATCATTCCAGTCCTGTCCATGGGACATGGGGCCTGGGCTACGTAACCAGCCTTGGTGACATTCCAGGTAACAGCCAAGGAGTCCTCGGGACAAATGGTGTCTCCATCTGAAGGGCGATGATCAGGGAGCACTCAGCAATCACAGTCTAGCCCAAGCCTCTCATTGGGCAGAGGCCCCTGAAGGCTCCAGAGCCTGGCCCTGTTGCCTAGGGTAAGGAAACCCCAAAGAGGAAACCAGTGCTCCCAGGGCAGGGAGCTCTCTAGCCTTCCCACTGCTCCTAGGAGTGAGTCAGGAGGGGAGAGGGTGGTCAACTGAATCCCAGAGCTCCACATACCCTTGATGATGGTGACAGAGATGGAGACCCTGACAGGGGCCAGTTCCAGGCTCTGCAGCTCATAGGTGTATGTGGTGTCAGCTGTGGGGCAGCTCTGAATGTCCAGCACGAGGCACTCAAAGTCTGACATATTGAGTAAGGAGGCTGAGGGTGAGACCAGAGAAGGGAACTGTCACTGAGCATGAAACTGACAGCAGCCCCAGAGATGCTGTTTCAGTCCTTCTAGCATTTCAGAAGGGGATAAAGTGTGGGGAAGAGTCAGGGCTCTGTGGCATTGAACTACCGCAGACAAAACATGGATTTGGATGAAGGGGACCTGGATTTGAATCCTAGGTATCTCTAACTAAGCTCTAGCACTGGATTTCAAACCCATTTCCTCATTTGTCAAATGGGGATATCATCAAACTAACCTTAGAGTTTATTATAAGAATTAAATGGAATTGTATGGGTGAAAGCATTTTGAAAAAAGTTATCTGTACACATGTATTTATTATGATAGCAATAAATTTAAGATTGCTCTGATGGGGTAAAAACAAAAAAGTGTTGGCTGTGGACCCAGAATTCCCAGGTTCAACTGCAGGTTCTGCTCCTTGTGAGCTGAAGACCAGCTGCCTGAAGAGACTAGCTGTCCCCTTTCTCCCTGACCCCTGACTGCCTGGCCCCTTTCATACCTGTGCTGCCCTCTCTGGGGCTCCAGGAAGCAGTGTAGGCCAGGTGTGTGCTGGGAATGCAGCAGCTCAGGTGGAAGCCAGAAGAGGTGGCACACGAGATGGAGAGCTGGTCTGGAAGTCGCACCACATCTGTCTCCTGCAAAGGCACCCTCACCTCCTGGTGCAGGAGCCACCTGAATCCCTGGGCCTCAAAGCAGCACAAGTACTTGCCTGCAGATACACACCCACTGCACCTGCTGGCTCCCGCTCCACCCCCAGCCCCAGCCCCCTACCCCTTGCTTCTGCCACAGAATCTGCATGGCTTCCCAAGGCCCAGCCTAGGTCAGTCTCTTGTACCCCTTCCTCTGCTCTCCATCCAGCACTTAACCCCAGCCAGAAAGATCCAGAAAGGCCCTTACAAAGAACACTCCCAGCCCCACAAAGGATTTCCAGGAGGAAGAAGCAATCTGCAAAAGACCTCTTGCTTCATTTTTATTAGCCTGTAGCCATGACTTCTGAGGTGAACCTCTCTCCCTATGGTGTGTGCTCTCCCTGCCCTGCCCCTGCCATTCTAGCATCTAGAAGAAAAACATGGATCTGAAATTGAGGCAGTATCTTTAGCCTCCTCCACATTATAATTTTCCACATTAAAATGGGCCTCTTAGCCTTTCTTTCTCCAGAGTGAATAATGGAAAGATGAAAAAAGAACGGAAGCAGAGAAAAGAGAAGGCAAGAGAGGTAGGTAGAAGTGAGAGGGAGAGGTGAAGGGAAGCAGAGGAGGAAGAGGAAGACAAGAAAGGGAAGCTACAGAGAGGAACAGAAATGAGTCAAGACAGAGCAGCTGGTTACCTGCCCAGTCCTGGGAGATGTTGAAGATGCTGAGGGTAGCCTGGTCCTGGCTAGAAGAGTTCAGGGATACCTGTGTCCCTGGTTGCAGAAGGATGGGACTGGGGCTCCTCATGGGCCACAGGAACCAGTGCAGGTCGGTAGCCGTGTGATTCATGAGGAGAGTGAGGCTCAGTGTGCTGCCCGGCTTCTGCAGCCCGGAGTCCAGGCTCAGCTTCCCAGGAACTGCAGGGAGGCAGGAGACGTCCTGGAGAGACTCACTGCCCTTGGTGGCCTATGGTCATCACAGCACACTCCTTCCACCTTCTGAAGCCCATCCCTCCTCACTCCTCCCTACCAGCACTTTATTGTCCCTGTATGGGTATCTGAATGTAGTTGCTGCATCCTAGCCTGGAAGACTGCCTGTCATTGGGAACTAAAAAAAGAAAAAAATAGCCCCTTTAACCTATGTCTTTTCCTTCCCCAGGTGATATGGGGCTGCTGGAGTCTCTTCCTAAACTCCTACCACTTTCTCCCCTTGTCCAGATGTCCTCAGGGCCCTGTTGCCTGTTTGTTAGCCTCATTACTTGGGTCCCAACTTCAGGGCTTGTGATCTGCTATGACAGATGGCATTTTCTCCTACCCAGAGGAGCAGCAGGGCTTGAGCCAGCTGGCAGAAATATATGATCCAAAGTGGGAAGAAAAACAAAAACAACAACACAGAGAGGATTTCTTTCACGTGGGCCGTTGGTTTTCAGGTTCCCAACCCTCCTTACCAGGTGGCAGCAACTGACAGTAGGCAGGCTCAGGATGGCTGAAGGTAAGACAGACACAGGGCTGGTGGTTGGGAGAGGTTGGGCAGGGAGGGTGATGGGAGCAGACACTGGTGTTCCACTGATACCCAGAGAGACAACCACAATAGAAATGCCCATCTTGGTTGGCGTTACACTCTACGATAAAAACAAGGGAGTGAGAAACAAGCAGGCTGTCTGAGAAAGCCAGGTAGCCAGGACCAACAACTGCCTGATGCCTAAGAGGCTCTAAGGCTGGATATCTGGAAGAATCCCAAAGTCACAGGTGTCTCAGTCAAGTCACCCCATCAGGGACCGCCTCCCCAGCTAGGGCTCAAAGCAGCCCAGGTCAGTGCTGGGCAAAGACATTAGGGGGTGGGGTGGGAAGTCCTGGCCCACACTTTCTGTCCCTTCGTCCCTGTGTCAAACCATAGAAGGCAGAGACATGGAACAGGAAGGGAAGGGTCTATCTGGTGGGTCGATAGGGGATGGTAGAAGGAGCTGGGCCAGGGAGAAAGAACATGGAGACCCTTCAGGAAATAGGGAGGGGTTCCCAGCATCTCAGGCAAGCTGGCTGCAGGACCCTGGGTGGCCTGAGTCCCCCTTCTCCAAGCAAGAAGTGGCACTGAGAGGCAGGGGGCAGTAGGAATTCCTCCCTACCTGTTGTGAGGCTGAGGGCAGTGAGAATGCTTGAGGATGAGGAAGTTGAAGCAGAGGGGTGAGTCAATGTCCTAGAGAGTTCTGGTGGCCAGGTGTTATTTGAAAAGTCCACATGTACATAGACGGAGACCAGGACAGATTCTATAGGAGCAGATGGGAACAGCTGGAAAACAGAGGCTGCAAGACCATGGGCCAGTCTCCCTTTGCTTTCCACACTGATGTAGTCATTCCCAGGAACATGGGACAGACTCTCCCCACATAGTCTTTCTAGACACCCAGACAGGACCCAGAAAGGCAGTGACTCCTCCCCAAGCTATGGCACATTCAGATACAGTTTTATGACATCCTCCCATCAAGCCCCATTTTATAGATGAACCTCATGAAAATGAATGGTTTTCTCAAGTCCTCACAACTGGAGAACTAGTGCAGGGACTTGGTCTGGCTAACACAGATCTAGTCCTTTTTTGTGCTGCCCCCACCCCCCAGCTCACTTGCTGTGCCCTCTCCCAGTCCTTCCGTTCCCCCTCATTGAACCCCCCCCCCAGCTCCTCCTAGGTCCCCCTCTTCCTGTCTGTCCACTCACCAAATGCTCCACTCCCTTGGCTCAGTTGCTGCTCAGACTGCCCCCTAGCCTGACTCTGGCCCTGGAACAGAGCACACAGGAAAGGCCTTGAGAGAAGCTGACCCTTGTTCTCCCATGGGCACCTTCTTCCCAGGCAGCATCAGGAGCCAGGCTGGCTAGTCTGGCAGGAGTCAGTATCTTTGAAGCTCTTCTTTTTGCCTGGATTCAAGCATGCACATCAAAAGGGGAAAGTAGCTTCTGGTAAGAGGCACCTCGTAAGTAAATCTAGGAACTTGCCTGGGCCTGCAAGTCCCACCTGAAACCAGGAATCAGGCACACCCAGGAGAGTCAACATGCTTTGTTTAATTCCTTCCTGAGTTTGTCTGGTCCCCAGGCCCCTAGGTCAGTCAAGGCGTTTGTTTATTTGTGTATTCATTTGGAGAGACTCAGTAGGCTATGAGCTGGGTTGGCTGTAATCTTTATGGAAGCTGTTCCCCAGGCCTGGAGCTTCTGTGGTGCTGCTGGGTGGGTTCGAACAGACAACCGTTAGGATACTAGCTGAGTGCAGACTGTGCCACCTAGTGACCTTTAGACTAGTTGAAATGGCTGGGTCCAGAGCTCCAGTGGGGAAGGCTGGGTTGAGCTGGCTGGGCCCGAAGGCTCAGGGACTTCTATTTCTTCCATGGGATTTGTCGTAAGTGTGAGCAAAAGGCAACACCTTCCTTTTGTCTCTGGTTCTTGTAAATTATTTCCCCATCAACTCCTTCCTCTCTTAAAATTGCATGTGCACATAGATATGTGTCTCTAGATATAGTCATGGAGATAGATACAGATAGGTGGTACAAATGGTTAAGTGCTTGACTACTAACCTAAAGATTAAAAGTTCAAGTCCACTGAGAAGCCACCTTGGTAGAAAGGTCAGGCAGTCTACTTCTGCAAAATCAACCATTGAAAACCCTGTGGAGCACAATGCTACTCTGATACATCACCACGAGTCGGAATCCATGGAAACTGGTATAGATGTAGATAGAAACATGCATACGGGTAAGGCAGAGAGAGAGAGACAGATAGATAGAGATCCCTCCCCCTGGGAGAAAACAGGAAACAGAGATCAAAAAGTGCTACTCTAGACTTTGCTGCTTTCCCTCAAATTCTGTTCTGCCCTCTAGGTCAATTGTTAACAAATTTGGAAAGATTTTCTTTTCTTTTCACTTTTAAATTGCAGGCTTGGTTGGAAGAGCCAATGTACAGCAGTTATCATTGGTGTTCTCCAGGACTCAAATAAAGAAACCTTGGAAATAAGACCGAACTCTCAGAGATCCTGTAACAAACCAGCATCTTTCCTTCAGTCCTTTCCCATTCACTGTCCACCTGCCCTTTCACCCCTCATCCAAGAGGCCCAGCCCATCATCACCTCCACAGACCTCCCCTGGGTCCTCATCTGTCTCACTTACAAGTTGGGATGCGTGGACAGCTGGTGACCCCAGCACGGGGGGAGTCATGGCCAGGAGCAGTAGTAGGGCAGGCGAGCAGACCATGGCTCAGTAGAGCAGTCTGCAAGAGCCCTCCTGGTGCTGCAGGATGCAAATTTCCTCCGAGGAGAGCAGGTGGGGCTGAGCACAGGTGAGGTGGGAGGGAAGGATGGAAGGAAGCTGGGGCTCAATTTACAGAGGAAGTCTACAGCCTGTGACTGAGTCAAATGGGCACCCAGGTCACTAAGGGGCTACCTGAAACCCACACATCCAAGGTGAAAGGGGTCCGTCTGGACTCCCCTGTGGTCTGTACCAAAGATTCAGTGAGCAGGAGAGGACTTAGGGATCCTAGGTCACAACCAGCGTTGTGTCAGTAAACCAGGTTCAGCCAGGTTTCCAAGAATCCTGGAAATCCAGATTGTCCTGGCACTGCCAGGAGCTGCATCATTGCTCAAAGACCTAAGATTAAAAAAGAAAGACTGAGTTTATTGCTACCCCAAAAATAAATTCCAGATAGAGTAGTGATTGAAATGTAAAGAGGAATCTGGAAAATACTAGAAGAAATTACTAAGTAATTTCACAAAATAATTTTGATGTGAGGAAGGCTTTTTAAACAAAATACACACCCATAAGCCAGGAAAAAGATAAATTTGGCTATCTAAAAAAAATTAAATTTGGTACAAAATGTATTTATTAGGGCAAAAAGGTAAAAGATAACATATTTGTAACACTAAGATTGAACAAAGGGCTAGTTTTCTTAGCTTAAGAACTTTCTATCTTATATACTAGTAGCCTAAAAATTGGCAAAAGATGAGAATAGGCAGTCTACTGAAAAAGAAATACAAATAGTTGATGGAAATATAAAAACATTCAACTTCACATATAAAAAATGCAAATCAAAATAACAAGATACTGTTTATCACCTGATGTGTCTGGATGGTACAAATGGTTAAGCTCTCTGTTACTAATCTGAAGGTGAGCTGTTCATGTCCATTCAGAGGCACCTCGGAAGAAAGGCCTGGAGATCTACTTCCAAAAAATGAGCCATTGAAAAGCCTGTGGAGCACAGTTCTGCTCTGACACACATGGGTCACCATGAGTCACAATTGACTCTATGGCAACTGGTTAATTAGTAAAACATAAAATACTGATTATATTCAGTGTTGACAAATGTGTACTTGTATACATGTGCAAAAATATGTGTATAAGGATGTTTGCGATAGCAAATGAATTAACTAAAATATCTGTTAGAAAAGGACAGTTTAAATAAATTATGGAATTTTTAAACAATAGAACATTATATAGTTGTGAAAAAAAAATGAAGTAACTCTATTTTGGAGTGACCTGCAATCTTTGTTGTGAAGTTGAAGTTTAAAGTATACATTAAGGATACCAAACCCATTGCCATTGAGTCAATTCTGACACATGTTGTTGTTGTTGTTACGTGCTGTTGAGTCGGACCAGACTCATAGTGACCCCTCCTTGGGTTTCTGAGGCAGTATCACTAAAGAAGTAGATTGCCCCATCTTCCTTTCGAGGAGTGGCTGCTGGGTTTGAACCGCCAGCCTTCTGATCAGCAGTCAAGTGCCTTAGGCGCTATGCTACCAGACACACAGGCAACCCTATAGGACAAAGCAGAACTGCCCCATAGAGTTTCCAAGTCTGTAAATCTTTATGGAAGCAGACTGCTACATTTTCTTTTTTCTGTGGGACCACTGGTGGGTTTGAACTGCTGACGTTTTGGTTAGTAGCCAAGGGCTGTGTCACCAGAACTCCTTTTTATCTGCATATTATGCTCCCATTTATGTGAAAAATGGAGCATCTGTATTAGATATGTGTGCTTATATATACTACAGCTAGAATATTTCTGGAAGAATACATCAGAAATTCAGCAATAGCTGTTGCCTGCAGGGAGAGGGTCTAGGGTCTAAAAGGGTCCGTGTGATGTTTGGTTTTTGTTTTATCAACTATAGGTGCGTACTTTTTTAAATTAGAAAAATAAAGGGTTGATTTAAATAAACACACACACAGCACCTAGGGTAGAAATCTACCTCAAGTTCATTTCTACTTCCACCACCACCTCAAATCCCCCCTTGCTAGAACTGCTGCTGACAGAGCAGCAAACACAAAGAGCAAATATATGCATGGGAGTAGACTTCTGTATATAATTAATTTCAGAAAACATGGAAATGGTAAAGAATCAAGGTTGAAAACCAGAGGGAGAAGTGAGGGCAAAGAGAGACACAGGTGCTTGTGCTGGAAAACTGTCTATGCAGCTGCATGTGGTCTTAGATGGGCCAAGGGGACATGGGCCATCAAAGCACCTGCCACAGCAAAGAAGATGATGGAGTCAGTCAAAAGACAAAGTGGTCCTGGGCAATGCTCTCGAGCCTCTTGGGCACCAGGAACTACAGAAGAGAGAGTAGGAGTTGAGTTCCAGGGAAAGTGGCTGCTCCAGGGCTGAGAGGAGACTGCAGCCTTTAGAGAGGAGAGGCAAGGACAGATCCCAATGAGGAAAAGACTTCATCTAGAAGAGCTAACCCTGAAGGGACAAGTGACTCTGTGAGAACATTAGAAAGTTGATAGAGCTGGAGGTGGACAGACCTCAAAAGATTCCACCCCCAAAGCATAATTTTCCTCAATTGAGACCCAACTCATCTTAACCACTTTGAGTTCTTGGCAAGAAGTGGGAGCAACAGGGAAGATAACAACAGAGTCCTGGTTCAATTAGACCTGAAATGTCCAAGGTGTATAAAACACGGGATCCTATTGTGCTGCCTACAACTGTCTGTGAGTTCTATCAATCCACTGATTGATAGAACTGAGGAAGTGAGGTTTAAAGATATGGTAGTTTGACTGGACCTGTAATATTAAAGACATCTGAAACATTTTTGCATGTATGAAAAATACCTAGAAAAAGATTGGAAGGAAATGCTATAGGCTTTACAAGGTGTCTGTTGAATTGACCTGTTTTCCCCCAGGGTCTAGTACCATGCCTAACACATTGGAGGCCTTATGTAAATATTTATTATATGAATCAAAAAAAAAAAAAAA